AAAAAAAAAAAAAAAACAGTTACAGTAAAAAATAAATAAATAAATCATTTTTCAGATGGGCAGTTGCATTAGCACCACCACTAGGCCAACTTGCAAAACCCCAGGAAAGCGTGACGGTCAATGCCCGACCGCCACGAGTCCGATCCCGGAGGTGACCGCCGTCAAAAGATCTGCCGCAGGTGAGAAGTACCGCCCGAACGGCGCCGTTTATCAGAGCAGGCTCTCGGAAGCTCCGAACCCGGCGGCGGACAGGAGATCTCCTGCGGGTCACGGGAACCGGGATTTTTCCGGCGAGTTTAGGGGAGGAAAGTGTAGCAAGGCAGACAGAATTTCTCCGGGTCGGGTAACAGGGTCGAATTCGGGGCGGATTGAACCCGGACCCGACCACGTGTGGAGGAAGAGTGGAGTGGATGGGTTGAGTGGTCGGGTTGGGTTCGGGTCGGGCTGTAAAGCAGATCGTGGGAAAGGAGGAATGACGTGGCCACCGACGAACTCTGAGTTGCTTGAAAATGCGTCACACGTGGCGTTTGAATGTTATATTTTTCTCTAAGCTGGAATTAAGTACGATAAGAAGGTTCTGTGGGGATATTTTCGGTATCAGAAGTAATTTTATTTAGGGGAGCGGCTTTCATTTTTCTATTTTTGAAGAATTATTATTTTCAGTTTAGGGTGTTCGACTAATTAAATCGAACCGAAATCTTGATATTATCCATAAATTTGCTCAATAAAAAATGATTTTGTCTATCCAGCTTACCCCATGTTTAGACCTGTTGACTTGAATAAAGAAAATGTGATTAAAATGGCCAAAAGTCCAGTGGTGCCCCTGACCGACGTTTATTAAAATTGTTTGGTCGATATTAAATTTATTTCGTACTTCTTTTTCGTTCTCCATTTTCTTTAGTTTGGCTAACCAAATCAAACCAACCAACAAATTTTTGGTTTGAAATTTCATTACGGCCAAACAAAAATTTCGGTTAACCGAATTTTAAAAGGTTCAATTTTCAAAGATTAAGGACCACTGCTCTTATAGCATTTCAGGTCATTTTTTTGAAGTATGTGCAACTCAAAATATGATATTCACAATCATCCATAACCATATTTAGGTCATCTTTATGGAGCACCAATTTAATTTAATAGAAAATCACTATTATAAGCTCAATTCAAATATATATTAAGGTCCACAGTCATAAATATCCAACAAAAAAAAAAAAAATAACCCTACTTGAAATGAAAATGAACATAAGGAACAGCTAATCAAGACAGTTGCACGATTTGTCTCATTTACAAGTGACGATTAACCTATTTTTCTCCGAACCTATCTGAACTGTTTTACAGCCAAAAAAAACAATACAAAGGCATGGCTTTACCAATAAACAGCGGCATAGCAATAATACGACGTTAATTCTAGATACAAATCAACAATCACCCTCTAAAGTTTTCGACCCGAGAAAAAAAAGGCGGCCTTTTAATCGAGTACGAAACAGACACAGTGGCACAAAATGATTTTTTTATTTTTTATTTTTTACGTTGTTACCTAGTTTGGCTCGAGCTAGGCAGACAATAAATGTTGTCCGATGCTTGTTGATGAGAAGGCCACCGAACGGTCTCTGGAGGGCAGTGCACGGGAGCCGGGTGTGCGAGAAACGTGGGAACATTATCGCCTGGCATCACCACCGAGACTTCTCTTGCATTTATGGATACCTAACGAAGTTAAATGAGCATCAAATAGAATGCACTGTCTTGGTTTTATTATAGCCAAGTAGCAAATGCACCAGAGATTTATATAGTAACGATTTCTGGTAATAAGGGTAATTGTGTCATTGCACAAGGTAGAATAACTATTATTTGCCCAGATTTATAGTAAAGATTTATAGTAACGATTTCTAGTAATAAGAGTAATTGTGTCATTGCACAAGGTAGAATAACTATTATTTCACTTACACAAAAAGTGACTATAATTTCATCTTTTACAAAATAATAAGACTATTTACTAATATTACCTCAAAAGAATAACCACACACAAGTCGAGTTAATACTTTCATGTAATGTACTAAAACACCACAAGGATGTGAGACCAAAATTCGCCACTATTTGGAAAGTATGTTAGACTCATTTTTCATCCCTAATCTAATAAAAACTATCGTGCCTAAATGAATAAAATGAACATGAAAATAGCACAATTAAGAAACTCGGGGGTTCCTAGCATTTAATGTGGAGTTTTACAGCAATCAATTTTAGTNAAAAAAAGAAAAAAAAAATTGATGTTAACTTTAATGACAAGAAAAAACAGCTATTAGCTTATCCTGGATTTTTTGTTCTGTCAGTTGCAAACATGCTGCAAGATTTCTTCTCCAAAGTCAACAATATAGGTACTCAATGCAATCCCATAGGTATATAATTATGATTATTATAAGTGGATGTTTCTTGATAACTTGGCAAAATTCACAGCAAATATGGCAGCTTTTAATGCAGTGTCTAAGAAAAATGTCATGTGGAACTTATCATATCATAAATAATAATAAAAAGATAACTGATAAAAGAAGTTATGAAACTTATTATTTTCTGAAATAACCAAAGTTTTTTGAATTGGGTTACACACTGTAGAGGTGTAAACAATCCGAGCTCGAGTTCCAACCTTTATCAAGTCGATAAACGAGGTTGCCTTGTTTTTTAACATTAATTGGTCAAGCTCGAGCCTTAACGAGTCAAAATTAAGAGCGATTTCCATTTAATACACACATAAGAACACAGTTTCTAATTTATAAATTCTGTGAAATCTCAGCAGAAAATAAGGTGATGAAATAAAGTCTAGCTTCAATAGGTTGACACCCCAAACAGAAATTTCATATTTTAATTCATCTCTGCCCATAAGAAAAAGGAAAAGTATTTCTAAATCAAGAAAACAGGCAAGATAATTATTAAATAGATAATTCACTTGGTAAATAGATAACAATAACATTAAAGATTAAAGAGACATAGACATACTTTATGTCAGAAGAACAATCTATCATAACCTGCAAAAACTGAAATCCAGCCAAAATTGCAAAAACCAAAAATAGGGCACAAAGTAAAATCCAAAAGAAGAAAAAAGATAATCTTTCAGAAAAGAAAAAAGAAAGAAAAATTATCTATGAAATATAAAATCAAACACTTGGTGGGCTGAGCTCACCTTAGGAGGAGATGGGCAGCCGAGCTTAACGCCGTTGCCGCCTATACGATTCGATGACCGTTGCCGGCCTCCGCCCGGCGAAACTTCCGGCGAGGTGGCCCTGAGGAACTTCTCGAACACAGCCATGACGAGGAACATGGAGATGAGAATAGCAGTAGCCACGAACCCAAACGAGACTGCGTTCACCGAGTTATCGAAGTGAGTCGGGCGGCTTTCGTCCCTCTGCACGTACGGCGGCGCGCCTCCCGGAGACGGCGGCCATCCGCCCCCCTCTTCTCCCCCGGCCATGGCGATCCCAATTTTTTCCCCTGTTTTTATTTTTCGATTAAATCCTCACGACATCGGCATTATCGAAGCAAATGCCATTGAATTGAGGGAATATTTTTGTCTAAAATTGGAGAGTGTTGAAAAAGATGAAGTTTTTATTGGGATTTGTAGAGAGGGAGAGTTGGAAATGGAGCCCTGGGCCTGCTCTGTTGAGCTCTGTTTTTGTTTCTTTTGGGGAGTTGAAAGGAACTTCTCTCTATCTGCTTTTTGCTTGTGTATGTATATGTGTGTGTGCGTGGCAGTGTGTGTGATGATTTTCGATCACATGCAAAGTTTTGTTTTTGTGATTTTTCTTTCGACTTGATTGATGATTTATGTCTTTTTTTTTTTTCCAAGATTGATGATTTATGTCAATTATCAATAGCCTATTGTGCATATCGATAAAAAAATTGAATATTCACAAATTACTTGTCTAACATTACGCGAGTCGACTCTAACCCATCATATTGTAGAAAAAATTATAAATTTTTATATAATAACACTGTCTAACAACAGTTTTATTGTATTACTAGTACAACACCTATGTATTACACGAGTGTTTGTTAAACAATTATTATTAAATTTTAAAATTAATGAGAAAAAATATTTTAAATTTTATTTACTTTTTTACAAAAAAATATATATTATTATATATTTTACAATGACATTTGTTACTCGTGCGAGTTACATTTGTTATATTATAGTAATTTTTATAACTTATCTCATATAACTACTTGAAATATAAATATATTAATTGATAAATAATTTTATTTTTCTAATTAATATTAAAAAATAATTTTATCATTGTTATAAAGATAACTATAATTTAATTTTTTATACATACAATATGAATGTTAAATTGAACCTCATCAAGAGGTGATTAATTTGATATATTATATATGTAAGACTGATAAAAAATACATAAGTTATTAATTTTTAAAATACATTTACAATTCAATAGTTATAATTATAATAAGAATTGATATTAAAATGCAATTAATACATATAACATGACCATAAATAATCAACATATTTATGATAATCCGGATCTAGTTATTTTTGGATCGGAAGTAAATTAAAATCTACCCAAACCTAATAACGAAGCATATAATTTTGTCACATAGGATCCTAAAGCATGCAAGTCTGCCACTTAGGCTCAACACGTTATGAATTAATATATAGGCGGATATTTCATTACAATTATTAAACGTGATGAGTTTGACTCGACTCTGTTGATTAATGAGCCGAGCTTGAGCTCATTGAAAGTTTGTTTAGTCAATGAGTCGGCTCGACTAGTTAGAGCCTAGAGAATAGACGCGCATTCTCATGAAAAAAAATATTCTTTTGATGATGAGATCGATTGAGCGATCGCTTTAACATTTTGTTTTTATTAGAATATTCACTTGTGAGTTGTACCACATCGTTTATATAGGAAAAATAGGTCTAATTTACAATTCTAATAGGCTACTCTTCCTTCAACCAATTGGTTTTGGGATAGAACCCCACTTGGGCTTCATCTGGGCTTTCCCTGCTTATGGTGCGTTTCGCGTGCGTGGACTGCATCCATTTTCCCTCCGTTTCTTACATGGTATCAGAGCCGGTTCTATGTGGCACCGTGCGGTGACATACCCGTTTTCCAGTCTGTTTCCAGTCGAGCTTGGGCACCCGGCTCCGTATATGGGCTTGGGCTTCTTATGAAGGATTCACAAGTGAGAGGACGTATTAGAATTTTCACTTGTGATTGTCCCAAATCGTTTATATAGAAAAATAAGCCTAATTTATAAGTCAACGTGCTAATCCTCCTTCCACCAATTAGTTTTGGGATAAAACTCCCACTTGGGATTTCTTACAGTCTTGTTAGTTTATATTTACACTTCATGGAGATCGACAATTTTCAAATGGAATGATAGATACATATCAACATTTAGGTTTGAATGCGGATCGGTACATCATCGGTAGTATGGGTCTCTGGGTTGTTCGTTTTTGTAATTTTAGGCCCATTTAGAAACATACCCAATTTTCACCGAGGTTGACGTTTTCTAGACTTAGATGCCAGCTCAAAACGTAGAAGTATTTTTCGCAGTAAATTTTGAGGGAGAATTTCATTTTCTTAACCGAAGTGTGCATGCTTTCGATTTATGTATCCAAGTTACAACTAAAAAACAATTTTCAAATTCGCATAAAACTAACATTCGTCGTCGTCGTGGTTT